CTCTCTCTCTCTCTCTCTCTCTCTCTCTCTCTCTCTGCCGGTGTTGTGTATGAGTTGTTTACCTGTCTGTCAAAATGCTGTCATTTAATCTCTATTTATACGAAAATATTGTTTAACAACTTTCCCAGAGATTCAGAGATGATATTGAACTCCTAATATGGCATACAATTAGACGAGAAGTGTTTGCATTCTTTGCGAATGCAATTAATTCTCATAAAAAGTTTATCAAAATATTGAAGCATTCAAATGCCAAACCAAACATATCTTTATATGCTTTTAGATGTTAGCTATAAATTATTACACAAATTATTGCTAAACTCTTGTTTTTATTTCCCAAACATATATAAAATATAAAACATTTATTGTATTCAAAACCATTTCTTTCTGCGAAAAACTAATGCTTTTTCGTGAAATTATATTTTGTGTTATGATATATGAAATATATTTCGCTTTTCCTTTTTGTTATTAAACTTATGTTTAAAATACAGTAAACTTTTCTTTCATTTATTGCGAGGAAATATATGTATTATATTTTTGTTATTATATATTTTTAGTCTAAAATATTCTTTGTTGTGATTATTGGATGCGATGTTTGGATGAAATAAGAGGGGATCCTATCTTATAGGTGCGAATTGAATGACAGGTTTCTTTCACTTTTGCCCATATATTAAAATGAAAGAGAAATGTCTGTCTGTCTGACCACTAAGTATTACAATTGATATTCAGATTTTTTTCTTTAAATAACAAAAAAGCAATTGTTGTGGAAGTGTTTCAAAGACCACAATTCACATCACAATAGTATATATTATATCGCATTTTTGAATGTTGAGTGCCTTCTCTTCAATTTATTGTCGATGCGATGGATGTGTCGGACAATTAGCCATCAATTTTGGCGATGCGTTCGCCGCTCGGCTCAAGAGATTTCACTTTTTGATATCAAATAGAAATGAATGAACAAAAAGAGAGACTTATTCTCAGTTTTTCTTCTCTATTTATTCTCATTCTTCTTCTTATTCTTCCACTTCTTCTCTCAATTCATATTTTGTTTGCAAATCACGAAATCTTTTATTTTGCTCTCTTTTACTGTCAGTTCCTTTTCAAACCCTCACCCCTCGGAATCGTCCCCTTTTGGGCACTCATTATAAAACTTATAGTTATATCAAATATATATTGAAAAGCCATTTCTCTCAAAGAGTCCTTTCAATGCTTTCAGTGATATAAAAAACTTTCAATGTTTTGTCCGCTTTTTAATGTAAACTCAATTTAAGTATATTTTCTGAACAGAAAAATATGGTCTCAAATCTTGATTGACTTGACTTTAATTGGTTTACATTTAATTGACTTATCTTTTGGTTTAATTTTAATTCTCTTCACTTAAATATCAAAAACTTTGATCGCAAACGAAAAGCAAAATAAAATGACTGTTTTTTCTCTGATTAAAAACTCTCGAATTTTTTTCGGTTCGCTATAAAAATGTTTGCAAAATATTTCTTTCAACACCTATTATAACATGTTTTATAAATCTTGAACTCCTATTGCCATATATTTCTGGTTTTTTTCACTGTTGACAGCACTTGGTATTAATGAGTAGATTAAGTGATGGAATGTTGAATAGTATTTACAATTAGTTTTAAGATTTTTCTTTAAATAAGTTTTTTTCATCTCAACATTTAATTATGCGATTCAATCGTTTGACAGAATCAGACAAAACAATTATCCTCTGATCTTAAGATTACAAATGGAGGTTAGAGTCGATAAAGAAGTGGAGAGAGAGAGAGAGAGAGAGAGAGAGAGACCGAAGTGAGTGTTTGTATGTGTTTGGATTGATTGATAGTATTGATTGTCTGTCGAGCACTTAGTCTCTAAATTGAGCGTTTGGTTCATTGTATGTATGGCTCAGACATCAAACACTAAACGAATGGATGTAACAGTTTTACCATTAGTTTCAATTCGATTTGTTATACGAATTAATGTTTTCTTTTATTAGTAGCTATTGTTATGGTTGTTAACAATCAATACTCAGATTTATATATCTGTGCAGAGCTTATGGTGTAGACAGGGGTTTCGGGCCATCCCTACATCCCAAGCCATTTATCTATCGGGTGCTCAACCATTGGCTTGTAATCTGTCATAATAGTAATCATTGATTATCATTAGTTCCATATTAACTAAACTGATGGCCAATACCTTCCTCTCCCTCTATCTCTTCATAAATGGAAATGAAATTGACTTTTATATCACTTATAGTAACACTAATCGATGTTTTGAAGACTTAATTGTTTTTATCTTTTCGTTAGTATTGTCTTCACATTTAGAACCGAAGACTTTCTGAACAATACAAAGAAGTTTTTATCTCTTTTATTGAAAACGTTTAAAGATTTGATTAAAAATAGAAATTACAAATCGATTGCTGACTTTGAAAATGAAGTTTCAAATATTTTTTGCCGATAATTATCTTAATAATAGAGAAATAAAAGTTTATGAGAAATATATTCTAATCACATATATTTGTAAGTAATAATTGGTTTTATGTTTGCTTTGATCGACAGCTGCAGTCAATGTCCGTCCGCCCCGATATCGGACACTATATGCCTGCGAGGGCTCATCGCTGGAGATTGTATGCGAAGAGGGAACTCATATAAACCTAATTCGGGCCAATTTTGGCCGATTCTCCATTTCTGTGTGCAATGACAACGGAAACGTCGACTGGAGTGTCGACTGTATGTCTCACCGATCGTTTCGTGTGATGCAAGAAAGGTATGACAATCCTTATCATAAATACCATCTTTAGCTTCTCTCTCATAACAATATTTCCATTTCTTTCTAACTAACCATAAGATTATAGTTATCGACATTTTTAAGTTATCAGTATTTTTTTCTTTACTTCTAAATGAATGCATCAATAATTGAAAAATACTTTTTTGATTAATAGCTTTTGCGTTGCTTTTTGTAATGCATTTATGAAAAACGCAAACATTATATTAGTTTTAAAGTTAGTTTAGATTTTGAAAAGAGATTTGTCATAATTTTCAATTTAGCATTTATTTTCAAACATAAGATTTACATAAATTTGTTGTTTAAAAGCTTAACTCGAAAAACTGAAACATTGTCTCAATTGTGTCAACGTTTAGCTGTGGTATGAAGAGGTCGTGCAAACTGCCCGCGTCTGCCAACGTGTTCGGCGACCCCTGTTTGGGGACACTTAAGTATTTGGAGGCACACTATCAGTGTATGCCTGGTATGTATCACTTGATTACTTCCCGTTTCTTTCTTTCGATTGAATATCATTTGAATTTTCAATCTTTCTTTTACTTGTTTTTCTTCCAATAATGTGTTATTAATTTTGCGATTGTTTTGTTTGTTGTGTGACTTAATTGTGGGTTTAGATTATCCGCAACTGCCGTACTCTACACCCCGTCCTAACTATTCATTCAAGAATCCGTTGATCCCTTCGTACGAGTCTAGCGATCGTAACTACGGCGAGAACACCGGCTCTTCGCCTAATCCGAGAATTATATTTCCGGAATCGTATAATCCCTCGCAAATAATCCCATTCCCGGCCATCGAAATGGATTCCAAGGAAGGATCAGATGTTAGCGAAACGGAATCGGCGTCCAAGAAGTCAACGGAGACGAGCGATGGCTATCCCAGACTTAATGAGAACGATATCCCACCGCCTGTTAATCCGCCGATCATTTCGGATAACGAAACGCCTGTTATTAACTCAGACGACGACAAGACAGTGAATGAGAAGAATAATGACGATAACAACGCGCGTCAGTACTACTCGTCCACACCGGAGCCCAAATGGATTAGCAGTGGCTCTGAAATTGATTCAATCAATACTAATAAACACAACAATAATAATAACAATAATAACGAAAACAGTGAAAGTAATGGCAATTCCAATAGCGATAACATTATAATGCATGAGAACATCGAAAGGGCGGTCGACTTAAGCCTAGATCACTGCCAGCCAATGTACTCGAGAGGTCTTTCCTGGAACTGGACTCTCGTCGGACACGCGGCCAACCAGTCGTGTCCGGCGGGTGCCAAAGGTCTTGTCCGGTGGTCCTGTGTTTACTCCAATGGTAACCCCCATTGGACGCCATTGATGGCCGATATGTCCGATTGTTCGTCACTTTGGGTCCAACACTTGGAAAGTCGTGTCAACTCTAACGCCGAGTCTGTCGTCTCATTAACAGACGAATTGGCCAAAAGTTGCAAAGAAAAGACACTCTTTAGTGCAGACCTGTTTCGAGTGACAGATATTCTGAGTCAACTCGTGATCCGCACTGAGAACGCCATTATTGAGACCTACGATGAAAATCAAAGACATCATGTCGTCAGAGAAATGCTAAACGTATGAATTGTTTTGCTATTTTATAAATCATAATTAATAAATACTTATGTATTTCTAAACGTCAATTGTTTTGTTGTTATACAGTCTGTTCAGGACATTGTCAGCAGTCTATTAGATGACAATCAAATGGAGTCTTGGAATGAACTGTCGCTGAGTTACCAGAAAACTGCCATCAATTTAATGCTCAACTCATTAGAGAGAATGGGTTTACTTATGGCGGACACCAAACAGCAGACCAGTGATTATCTGAGGGCTCATCAGAATATTTGTATGTTTTTGTTGTTGAAATGATAATTTTAAATACCATAATCAAAATTATGAATATCTCTTTTTAGTTGTTTCGGTTCACATCCGATCGATTGGTTCGCTGTCTTATGGCTTACATTTGCCACCGATTGTGGACACATCGGATGAGATGCCAAACTCAGTGACTCTGCACTCTAATAGCGTATACCTGACGCCACAAACACTGACAGAGTATTCATCGGCGTCTGGTTTAGTGAAAGTCGTGTTTTTAATGTACAAAAAGTTGGCTCATCTCATGAAACCAGAGCTCGAGAACGCGGACCACTACCCGGTGATGATGACACCCGATGGCGGTCTCGCGCCCCTCAACACCTCGCGTATCATCAATTCGGAGATAATTGGGATACTATTAAACCGCGAGAGATATACTCCGCTCAGCGAACCCATTGAGTTCACACTCAAACACCTGATCACCGAAAACGTGACGAACGCTAAGTGTGTCTTCTGGGACATCGACCGCAGAGACTGGTCAGACCAGGGATGCCATACTGTCCGCACCAATCGTACGCACACTTCATGCAAATGCAATCATTTGACAAATTTTGCCATTTTGATGGATGTCAATCACGTCCAAGTAAGCGAACCAACCATTCATTGCCTCGTCTTCTCTTCCCTTATCTCCCATTTTTCCGCTTTTTTCATAACATTTTACTGTTTTATTAAAAGTCTGAAAATTAATTCCTTTTGATTTTTTAATTAATTTAATGGTAGATCTCATCTGGAAATGAGTTGGCATTGCGTGTCATAACAGTGATCGGTTGCACCGTATCTATCATATGCCTTACCATTACGTTCATTACATTAGTCTCATTCAGGTATGCATTGATTATCCGCACAACAGAAAGTGACTCTACTTTTTGGTGTTAATTATTGTATTTTGCGAACCGTTTGATTAATTTATCGCAAAAATCTAAAAACAACTTTCATTTCATACACTATGACAGGAGCTTAAGGAGTGTCCGGACAACAATTCACACCAATTTGTGCCTTTGCCTCATAATCGCTGAATTGATTTTCCTTTTGGGTTTGTTTTTTCACATAATTTAATGAAAGATTTTTTTGTTATTAATTTTTGGTTTTCATTTCTAATTAACTCAACGCAGGAATCAATGAGACAAAAATCAAACTAATCTGTGGTTTAATAGCCTGTGGTCTTCACTACTTCTTTTTGGCCGCCTTTTTGTGGATGTTTTTCGAAGGCTTCCAACTCTATGTGATGTTAGTCGAGGTCTTTGATCACGAAAAGTCACGCGTCAATTGGTATTACTTGCTGTCATACGGAGTGCCCGCCATTTTGGTGATTATATCGGCCATTATTGACCCGTTGTCTTACGGGACACCCAATTACTGTTGGCTTCGGTCCGATAATTACTTCATTTGGGCGTTTGTCGGTCCAGTCATCGCTATACTCATCGCCAATATTATATTCCTCTCGATCGCAATGACCACAATGTGTCGACACATTCCTCACATCACTTCCAATAAGACTAAAGAACAGACAAAACTAACAAATATTAAGTAAGTTTTTGCATTACATTAAATATCAGATTTTGATTTACTTGTTATAACTTTTAATTTAATAATGATTTCTTAAATTCTAACTAATTTTGTTTTGTTTCACAATATGTTATTCTCTTATAAATTGGACTAAACTTTTGGTTTTGAAATATTTTACTAAAACTTGTGATGAATGCGGGCTTTGATTATTAACACAATTTAATTTTTCCATTTCTAACTGTCCTGTTATTACACTTACAAACAAAGTGGTGAAAATGTCACCGAAATGAGACGAAATAGTCTTAAGTAAGACTTTTGTCATTTGTCTTTCCATTCGTCGAAACTTATTATTAAAATATTTTTTGTATTCAATTTGCAATAGGCTTTGGATCCGCGGTTCGCTGGCACTGGTATTCCTGTTGGGCATTACCTGGAGTTTTGGCCTCTTATATCTGTCCCGGGAATCACTATTTATGGCCTATTTGTTCACAATTACGAATTCAATGCAAGGATTGTTTATATTTGTCTTCAATTGTTTGACGAACGAAAAAGTGCGGACAGAATACCGAAAACTGTTCGCTGCCCTCAATCTGAAGCCCATTTGTCTGGACTCAACGCCTTCCAAGTCTATCGACACAACCCGTGAACAGATGCCGTCGTCATCGCTGTCACCACAAGACCACAGAACCAGTCTTTATGTCAACAATTCGAGCGCCGCTTCCCATCCGAAAGACTCGTCGATCATAAATGTATTTCCGGTGCAAAATGGTGTCCACTGCGAGCCAATGATCGGCACATCCGGTCTACCGACTAATGGCCTCAATATGAATGCTCTGATGGCGGCGACCGGAGCCGAGAGTCCCAAACAGTTGCGTCGATTGACACACAAGTATTACTTAACGGACGACTCGAGTGATTACGGCTGTAAACGCCTTCAACAGAGCCGTTGCCCGAAGCAGTCGTGTCGAGACATCTATTCCCTCCACTCGACTCACTTGGCCTCACATTCGCCTAACTTTATTGAACACATATACGAGTGCATCGATGAGGACCCATATGTCGCCAAACTATTGTTGCCAGCGATTCAGCGCTCACTCGACGGCCAACACGTCCGCACATTAAGCGATTCGTCGCGACATTCAGACAACAGGCCATTGATTTCGTGCTCTACTTCTTCGCCTCGAAGTCACAACTTTCACATTCAGACACAGAATACAGGTTTGTGTTTGACTTTTAGACCCGAAGTCTAAGTAATTGTCAAATGAATTGTTAATTAGTTTTTTGTTGTATTCATTGTTTAGGTAATCATTTGCCGGCAATAGTGAAGGACAACACAATGAATAAGACGACAATCATTTGTACAAATCATTTGTCGTCTTCGAGTCAACCGACTGTCGCTGTACTGAATGGCAACAATCAAGTGATCTGTTGTACACTAAACGACCATCAATTATGTGATCACAACAATCAGACAATACAAACCCATTTAAGGCAACAATATTTAGTGTCAAACGGTTTAAATAATCTGAATAATTGTTTGCCATCGAAGAGCCGACACCTCAGTAGCGACTGTTGAGACGTCCGGCCGATCGACGGAACAGACAATACAAGTGTCAAAACGAAAGACAATTTAAATTTTCTAATCAAAACAAAAACTGTTTGCTTTACTCAAACGCCCAGTTATTGTGATCGTTATGTTTTATATCTAATCCATCGTTAATGAAGGCATGGATTGAATTAATTGTTAAATATATGACGAGAAACCGATCGCAAAGACCACTGGATTTTGAAGAATACTTTTGTGATATTTTTAGACAAACTTTTAAAAGTGTTTTTATTATTTGATAATAAATAATACGAGACTATTATTTAAAAGTAATAAGTATTTCCCGAAACCAACTGCTCATCAATTCATTGGAATTAAATTCTCATTAATTTTATATAAAATACAGAGTTTTTTGTATACAAATTATACATACATTTAATGAAAATTTTTTGAAAAAAGCAAACTTTTTTAAAACAAATTGTAAATAATTTATTATTATTGCTATTTCTTATTATAAGTTATAATTAATTATTGTATTATATATACATTTAAATTAAATAAAAGTTTTTAAATTATATCGAAAAATGTGTTCAGTTCTCAATTGAGTTATCAATATATGACCACAATTTACATGATTTATATATTAAAGTACTGTATATCGGAATTTGTAATAATGTAATCATTCAAATGGTAAATAAGTCAATATAAATGCATTGGAATTTAGTGTATATGCAATGAATTAAATACATTTAATTTTCAAATGCATTACGAAATTTAATTAAACAACAAAAATGTAAAAACCCTGTTGTGATCATTTTTAAAGCATAATTACCTGATAAATGCATAAACATAATTTGTATGTACTCTATAAATAATCAAATCAATTACTAAATATAAGGTTAAATTATAGGGTTTTTGTTTATGTTTAAATTAATATTGCAAAAATTACCATGATAATTACTACTACAGGACACAAACTATATTTCGGTATCGTTTATATCTGGTTGTGAATTGAGTTCAACACTATTTACGGTTAAAGTGTTGTACGGGTTATAACGGGGCAGATATTGAAATCCTTTTTATGATCAAATTGTGGTTTAAATTCATTGATTAATTAATTCAAAATTAATTGACTCGAAGTTTAAAAGAAATAATTTTATATCAAAGAAGTGGTAAATTGTGTTCATTTCCTGCAATGCCTATAAGGAATTGCTTTTTTAAAAATATTTTAGACATTGTATAATTAAGTAAATTGTATATAAAATTACATTCATAACACTATTCATTTGATTACAAACCTTGTTATGATGTGAGCCGAACGGGGGTGAGGTGTTCAGCTCCCGAGACATCAAATAAACACACAATGCGTTTAATATAAACGACTTATTGAAATGTAAAACTCGACTCAATTACCACAGTTATATACATGTTTGGCTCAGTCTTATATACCATAAGATGAGCTCATGTTGAGAGAAAATCATAATTAATATATACATCAAATAGTCATTCAGAACTCATTGGAAAACAACAGAACATTAGGTATTAAGCATATGAGCACAGAATGAGAAATATATTAATCATAAAGTAATAGTGAATACAAATATAAGTCATTCTGAATGGAAAAATAATTAATACAAATATATATGATTCTGAATATAGTTAATACATGTCTAGTCAAAGCAATATAAGGTCAGATCACTTCAGTTATAATTAATTTTTATAATTACTAATTATTTATTCCAATATATTAATCAATTTTTATAATTATAATTTTAATTTTATTCACAGAAATGTGACAAAAATAGTGAAAATATAATAAAATCGACTTTCAATTGGCGTTTATTTAATTGCAAAAAATTGTATTCAAATATAATTTCAATTCTTGTTCTTTCTATCATTTTAAGTGTTTTGTTCATTCATTTGAATTGCAATCCGATAATTGCTTTTCAAACTTCATTTAATACTTTTCTTATATAATATTTATCATTGAATATGTGTTTATCGCAAACAATAGTCTATACATTCAATAAATATGTAACTTGAACTTGAAATATGTAAATATTCAACATTCAGTGCATTTTGCACTAAACACACTCTAAAAGTACTTAAAAAGGCCTTAAAATATGATCGCATGCCTTAAAAGGCATAGTTTTACTCACAGTAAAAGATAAACTATTATTTTTAGTAAATTAAATATATAAATTGCTGCCCATATGACCATGGGCATTTGTACGGATACATTTATTACTTAATTTGATTCATCACTTCTTTGACTAATATTATTGTCAAAAAACAACAAAATATTATTAATAACTATTTAATAGATTAGATAAGAATTGAAAGATTAAAATCTTATTGATTGTAATCATGATTATCATTAATGTACAGAACATTATAACAATTTCTAGAATCTAGATGCTTTTTATATTACCGTCATGATTACAATGAGTTACTCTATAACAGACTGTTATTATCAGACAACAGATAAAACTTGCAAACAATTATCAAAACAACAACACATTCGCCAAATTATCAAATATTACTTTAATATTGTTTGAAATCATATAAAAAATAAAACTTACAAAAATACACTGTTTTTAAATAGAAATACAAAATATACGACAAAAAATAATTTCATTAAAATCTAAAACAAAAATCAAATTATAAACTATTTGTTTGGCATATAATTTGTGCCTTAATTGCAAAGTATATATCAAATCTTTAAAACAACTCAATGTTTGAACTGAATATTTAAGTGCAAAATATATGCAATCAAATAGTTGTGCCAATCAGTAGAGGGCCTGAAAGCCGAGGACAGTTACGACACCCAAAGCGTACATAAAATATTGGGACAAATTATTGGGCGTAAAGTCACGCCTTTTGGCCAATAATAGGGACATAAATCGCTGTTTACTCTCACTATAAGGCGGATAGCGTTTACTATTGAATTAAATTAAAAACAAGTTTTAGTCACAATTACGCTATAGTTTAGGAAATGAGTGAACTCACGATCCGATCGCTTCCAGAACGGGATTATATCCGCGAATCACAACCGCCTTCTTGTGTGAGAAGGTATCGAAAGAGAACTTTCCGTGATATCGACCCATACCTGAAGCCCCGATCCCTCCAAACGGTAACGTATCGACTGATCAACAAAACAAAAGTTTAGGCTTTCATTAGCCAACAATTCAATTATCATAGATTTAGTGGTATACTGACTCGTGAGATGAATAACGCTATCGTTTCCACAAATAGATCCTATAATTAATAATATTGTTATTAATGAAGAGATGAATAGATTTGATTGCAATGCTCACCACTCGATGTCTGGTTTACAAACTTATCGACAGTTTTTTGTCTGTTTGTAAAAATATACAAAGACAACGGTTTTTCGCCTTTTTTGATGAAATCGATGGCTTCGTCTTCTGACCCAACGTTTATAATCGGAAGAATTGGTCCAAAGATTTCCTCATTCATTATCTAATAAGATATTTATGAAAACGAGTATAAAAACCAATATTCAGATTCAATAATTACGGGATCGTTAGGCGAGACGTCGACCAGAATAGTGGGCGCGATATAGTTGTCGGAGGGGTCTGTCTGTCCGCCGACGACAGCCTTTCCGCCAGAATTCAATAATTTGGTGATTCTTTCAAAGTGTCTCTTATTAACGATTCGACACAAATCGGGCGACTTTTTCGGGTCCTCGCCGTAGAACTCTTTGATGATCTTCTGTGCGCTTTCTATCAATGATTTTTGCACTTTCGGCGAACACAACACATAGTCGGGTGCGACACACGTCTGGCCAGCGTTTATCAGTTTCCCCCACAACAGCCGTCTGCACGCAATCTCCAGGTTTGGTACCGAATCATCAATATATAGCGGACTAACAGTTAAGACACAAGGATTTAGGACTCAATACAAGTCAATTAGTGATTAATTATTTGTTACGAAACCTCTTTCCGCCCAATTCTAAGGTAATGGGTGTCAGATGTTTGGCCGCCGCTTCGTTCACGAGGCGTCCGATTTGTGTCGAACCCGTGAAGAATATATCTGAAGAGTTATACACACAAGTGATTAGATATTAATTTTCAAAACAGTTATCATTTTGTCATACAATCAAATCTCTCTTTCAGTAGTTCTTGCGTGGCTTCGGGTCCTCCAGTGATCACGTGATAGCACTCCTGTGAAAATCACAAACAAAGCATACAATACAACCATTTGTTATTTCAAGCATCACATGAATGCATACATTGTCCAGATATCGGGGAATCAATTCGGCTAAAGTGGTGGCCGTGTTGTCAGCGATTTCCGACGGCTTAATGATAGCGCAATTGCCGGCAGCGATGGCACCGACGAGTGGGCATAGAGTCAATTGAACAGGGTAGTTCCACGCACCGATTATCAGCGCCAAACCAAACGGCTCTTTATGGATGTACGCCGTGTCCATCATCACCGCCAGACTCTTCGACACGTACTCCGGTTTCATATACTCTTTGATATGCATTAACTGGTCTTTAATGTCATTCTTGACGAAATCCAATTCGGCGATCACTGTCTCCATCGGTGGCTAGAAATAAGACAAACGGATGTAACAATTGTCACCACAAATGGTGTGCAAAATAATGTATACTTTTCTGAAATCGTTTCGGAGAGCATTGATGAAGGCGTCGGCGTTTTCGTCCACACATTTATACAATGCATTCAATTGCGAGACACGAAAGTCGATACCTTTGGTCGTGTTTCGGATGAATGCCATCCGAGCCCTAGTGATCGCCTGAAACATCAAAGTCATGTCAATTAATGGCTTTCCGGACAAAACATATTCAATTTCAAACAAATCAATCGCAAGTGTAATAAACACGTCAATGAATACCTCATAATCGGATGTAATTTGACTCAAATGTACGGTTTTATAATCGCACTCAATATTAATTATATCATAGCCTTTATTTATCATCATTTATACTGATGTTACGTAAACTTTGATTATAAATATTTATATTAATACTTATATAAACATAAATTACCTTAAATGAATTTAAAATTACCGTAAATTTACGTAATATATTTATATTTCTTGAATGCCGTTTACCCTATTCAAATGCATTGCATAGTTTCAAACAGTGGAGGCAATGCAGAGAAGCTAAAATACAGGATTTTTTCTTATTCCTATAATAATATGATATATTAATAAATTTATAAATAAATAAATCACAAAAATATTTTTGGTTTCAATGAGACATATCTCGTCTCGTATTTTGAACTAAACAATGTTTAAATAATTGCTTTGTTAAGCAATATATCTAAATATAAATGTAAATAATTTCTAATTACAGTTAAATGAAAACTCGTTTCTATGTATAGTATATACGAGAGGATGAGTCGCCGAGTATTGCAAATATATAGAAGTCTTATATAATATTGAGACTCAGTTCTGGTCTGGCAGTCAATAAACTCTATTTGGACCTCAATTTCTTGCATTCAAATAACGTGTAAACCAATCGTGAAATCGATTTTTCAATTTCGTTCACCAAAAAAGTTTTTAATGTCAACCAAAATGACAATTGAATACAATATCTATTTATATATTAATTAATAAATCGCAATATTATGTGCTTTAACTGTACTTTCTGGTGGTAAGGAAGGAAACTATGGTTTGTATTACAAACAATATTTTGCCATAAAGTTAATTAAAATAATTATAATTAATAAAATTTATACTAATTTTAGACTTGTTTCTCCGATTTGGACGTTATTTTACACATTAATTAATGTCTGAGTTTGTGATCAAAATTAATTGGCATTTTTGCCATCAATTAATGCTAAACTTAATTAACTGAAGCCAATGAATACCATTACGATTATTGTAATTAATAATTAACATTATAAACCCATTATATTAATAACTTTATTACATTTATTCAATTAAGTGTTAGTAGAGATCACTAATTAACAAAAACTATAATAATTTTTCATTAATTGTATTCATGTTTAAGGAATTTCACTTCAAATGATTTGATAATCAAACTGATAGACAAGTAAAGTATGCTTTCAGTGTATGATATGATTGTCTCAATGATTGTAAGCCATTATAAATGTATTGAAAGACATTACAACTTGTTATCTATTGTTCAGATAGAGTCTAGTCTTTGATAATAAAACTTATATTTCAAGAAATACATTAAATATATAACTTATATAAAGTGTTGGACAGAGATTTGACTGCATTTCTCAGTTATTATCAAACAAATAGTTTATAAATAAATGTCAAACAGATTTGCGTGACTTAAACGCTGAAAAAACCTATCCTTAAAATCATTTAAACACAAATGTATTCATATTTATCTCAAATAAATACCACATTTTGAAGGTTTTTTCATGTCTTCAATGGATTTTAAAATTCAAACTAAATATTTGCAAAAAAATATTTGGTTTTTTCTTAAGGATATCAGCAATGAATTGACTGTAAAATACTTAACCATTAGAGTTGTCTGCAAACAATTAATGCAAACAATTAATTATTGATTACAATTAAAATTAATAAACTATTGTATGAATTCATTAATAAGTCATTTACGCAAAAAATCAGTAGTTATTAACACAAGAAAAACAGTTAATTAAAAAACTTTGGTCTCATTTACAGCAAAAAATTGTTTCACAATTCAATTCATTGCATAATAAATGAGACATTAATTCAAAGCCACGAAATATTTGGCACAAAAAAAGTTATATAATTTGTATAATAAATGCAAACATGAAATTAAATTATATTTCTAATCATTAAATACTTAATAGACATTCAAACCAAAGGTATGTTTCAAACGCAAAAATCCCATCAATTTTTCGGATATAAATACAGCGAAAAATTNTAATAAATGCAAACATGAAATTAAATTATATTTCTAATCATTAAATACTTAATAGACATTCAAACCAAAGGTATGTTTCAAACGCAAAAATCCCATCAATTTTTCGGATATAAATACAGCGAAAAATTTAACTAAATTTTCAAACATTAAAATTAATTCAAACATTGTTTTCAATATTAGTATAAATTTGTTATGTAAGACATGTATTGAGTGAACAAAACGGCGATTAAAATATCGATTTCAATATATTATTAAAAATAAATACAATATTTAAATACCTTTTCAATGATTGCAGACATTATTTGTAACCAATAATTAAATTGTTTATCGATTTAAAGACAATTTGTATTTTTGATCAACAAATTAGGATTCAGTCGACAAATACTGATGTATTGAATGAACGGCTGATTAGTGTATGAAATGAAATGAAATATGTTTTTGTCTTTCTATACAAACAGTTAAATACAGTATTCATTGAAAATACAGTGTATTTAGTGTTTAGTTGTTTGGCATTGAATTCTCAATCATTCAAACTTTCCTCTAATTCTTGTTGTGTTCACACAATTCATGATAACATCGATCGAGACATCTATTGATGCCATTCAGCACTATATCTAAGCATACATTTTGAACATCACATAAAATATCGTGTTAAATACCATTTACACAATTATGCACATAATTAAAAATGTAACATTACATGAATTAACCATTCTAACTTATTGCAACTAATACTTTTCATCTTGTTGTTGCAACAAATCTCTCTCTCTCTCTCTCTCTCTCTCTCTCT